ATGCGGGCCAGCATCAATACGATCCCAATGCGAGTCAGCTTCATTACGATCCAAATGCTGCACATCATCAATACGAACAGCAACCTCCACAACAAGCGACTCCCAGTTATGGTCAAATAGAACCAGGAACTGAGGCCTACCAACCTGGACATGCAACCGCAGATCCAGCTGCGGCTCCCGCTGGCTACGGATACGATTACTGGTCGGGCACACAGCAGCCACCTTATGGCGATGAGGTAGGTGCTGGTCAACTAGTCAGTCTTCCTTAAGCCCTCTGTATTTTGATTTGATGCATTCATTTATTTGCCAACGGGCTTTAAGCCCAAAGTTACTTTAAATTGTTATACAGAGGGTTAGCTTGTTGCTTATTTATCCTTTTTAGTTCGTTTTAAGTTGATCAATGTAAGACGGTGCATCGTCCGTATTATGCTTTAGTTTTGTATTTTATGTAATTCTGTTTACGCCTTAAGTTTTGACCTGTCTTGAACTTGTGTTATAGCCATAAAAGTAGGACTCGCCAAATTGCTAACAAGTTTCTAATCACATTGCGCACACAAAACGAAATTATAAACATGCCTCTATCCAAATGGAATGCAGCCCAATGAGAATCAAGCTGCTCTAAAGGATAAAGGGGAGGAGGAGGAGGAGGAGCAGGATGAACAGCAGATATTGCAGTACGCCAAACAGCAGATTTTGCAGCAAGCCAAGCAGCAGCAGCAGCGGCAGGAGCAACATACTCGCAGCAATGGCGCCGCCAGCACCAACAATCGCTTCAAATCGCACGCTCTGAAGCAGGAACGGAGCAGCGGTTCGTTACGCAAAAGGCAAGAGGCGTCACGAACTGGAACAATAGCAGCGGCAGCAGCGGCTATTGCACAGATAACACCGGCAACAGTTGCAGCGGCGGCAGCGGCGTCACCAGCAACATCGGCAAAGGCATTCAATTTGAATGATGTAAGTAGCTTTTCCAACACAAATAAACGACATCAAGCTACCAGCAGCAACAACAACAGCAGCAACAATCGCAGCAGCAGCAACCAAACAGCAGCAGCAGCAACAGCAACAAAAGCTGCAACAGCAACAGTACCTGCTGTCCCTAATCAATTACTAAGTTGTAGAAAGTCTAACAGCCAGAATAGCCCATACTTAGCCACGCCAAAAACGCTTACCACGCCCACACGTTTCATTGCCGCTAAAGCAGCCACTGTTACAGCCACGCCCACAGCGCCCGCCACTTCGACGACAACGTCCATAGGTGCCAGAGGATCATCTACGAAACGGGTTTACTTTAATCTTCCGTCGACCATCGCTGAATCGGATCAAGAGCTCGAGCATGAGCTGGACTATGAGGAGGAGTTGGAGGAGGAGAACACCATGGCTCTGGCACAAGCTAAACCAAACGTTCATCTAACGCGGAAGCCACATATTGTCTTTAATGGAACCTATCCCATTGATATGCCACTGACCCAGGGGCAGAGTCAACTCAAGAACAACTCGTATGATCCGGAGGCGAATACAGATCGTGGCGATCTACAGCGCTATAGAAACTACATGCTCCATGATTATGTTATAGATGAGGATGCCGAGGGTGAGGAGCTGGCCGAAGAAGAGGGGGAGGAGGACGAGTATGGAGATGAGGATTTATTCCCTTATGCCGACGATGACGAGAGTTTCGATGATGGCGATTACTACACCCATCAATTGCTCAATAAGTATGGGATTATACCGAGCGGTGAGAACAGGGGAGACGAAAGAACACCGGCATCCGTGGAGGCAGCTACCTCCGCGGCCCAGCCACAACACGTGTGGTCCATGAAGGAGCTGATAGCCAATCCAGCCATACCACTGAACTACAAGAAAATGTGCTCCGAAGTGGAGCAGAGCCTCAGTCGATTCGAGAACTATTTGGACAGCAAAAAGGAGCAACAGCTGCAACCGGGAGCCGCAGTGCGCACCTTCGACATCGATGCACCCACTCGTAGAGGCCACCGCAGCAGCACATCCGCAGATGCTGGCTCGGCTCTTAGATCTAAGAAGAAATTGTAAACAAACTAACGACAAATGCAGTTTTAGCTCTAGTAAAACCCACAAATGATCAGTATTTACAAATCCAAAAGGTTAGGAAACAAGAAAATAGGGAGGAGCAAGTGCATCGCTGCTTTTGTGGAAGCTTTCTGTACTGTACCTGGAGCTTGTCCTTCCTGTTAGCTGTTAATTCTATAACTAGTCTTAATGCCCCTAAGCAATATGTTATCACTAAGCCTTATATACGTTAATTGTGAGCAAGGGTTTTTTGACTGCGCCAGTTACTTTGACATGTTTCCGTTGTTTATTCGATTCGATTTGATTCGATTTAACTAACCCATACTACTCTGTTACTAACCAAACCAAACACTCTTAACTATGATCTATGACTTATGACTTATGCGATGCATCTCACAGAAGACTAATCCGTTGCCATTTCTTAACTCCAACCTCGATTTTGCGACCCGCACAACAGCTGCAGCAGCAGACACGCCCGGCGATCTCCATGCCCAAATCAAAGAGCTATGGAGATGAGGACGATGGTGGTTCCGGTGGTGTGGCAGATCCTGGCCAGAAAGCCAAGCTGGGCGGCTCCTCTGAGGCTGCCGGTAAACCGCAGGCGTCGGGCAAACAGGCCAACCCTGGCAGCGATCTTGGGTGAGTTCGAAACGCTATCAAATTGATTGGAGAGAAGTGCAGTTCCAGAGAAACGAACGTTGATGATCCAAAGCGGGGACAGACTGCTAAATAGTTCGAATCATTCTACATTTCAAACACAGGGCACCTGGCAATAAAAATGCGGGCTGGTTTGGCGGACTCTGGAACAAGCTGTCGCTCAAGCCGAAGAACCAAATGATCCTGCCGGATGACAAGAACCCGGCCATCGTCTGGGACAAGGAGCGCAAGTGCTGGACAAACACCGAGGGCAACGGCGACGAGGCGGAGAGCTTTAAGCCGCCACCCAAGATGAGCGATCTGGGCATGGCTCTCGGAGGACCACCCGCCGCGCCAGTCGGCAATGCCGGACTGGGAATGGGTCTAATGCCCGTGGCCAACAATTCGCTGGGCAGCCATCAAGCCGCACCGTTGATGGATCCGCAACCGCCGTCTCAGCCGCAAATGTATGGCAGTCCCATTGACTACACGGCTGCTCCGGCCCCCGAGTTGATACCCACGGTGCCATCGCCGGCGCCACTTTCTGCCCCTTCACCTGCACCGGCCGCATCAGCGGCGCCCAATGCCGCGGCCACTCCCGGCGGACCGCAGCCCAAGCTGCAGTCGAACATGTTCAAGATGCAACGCAACCGAAGTAAGTCGATTAGTTGAGAAACTGACAAATGTACTTATTCCTTGTTCTCTCTCTTACTCCGCAGCGCTTAAGAACTCCTACGTGGATGTGTTCAATCCCTCGGGTGCGCCAATGTCGGCGGCACCGGAGAATGTGCTGGCCCCCATGATGGCGCCGGCTGCGGTGCCCCAAGGCGGTTACTTTGTACCCCAGCAGTAGGGCGTGGCGTCTGAGGTGGGACTGGCCGGAACAGAAGCCACGGGATCTGGAGCAGCGGGCGTGCGTGGACAGTTGAAGGAGGATGTGAGAATGCAAAAAGGGCTGCCCCAAAATACCAACGAGATGTGAGTTGAGACGGTTGGTAGCGGATGATGCCTGATTGATGGGGTTCATTTCTTTATTGCAGCAGCACTTCGAAACTACGTAAAAAAGAAACCTTTTGCAACCGGTGACCGCTCAAACACACACCACACGCTCACACACACAGTCATGCATTAAATTTACACGCAACCATCCACACGAGAAAAGTCAACTTTCCAGCAGGGGAAAAGTTGGTCCTACGATTTTCGCCAAGATCCTACAGTTTATTAAACTACTGTCTGTCTGTCCTATCTTTGTGCGTGTCTCTACTAAATTTACTCACCCAATTTAATTGAAAGAACTACACCTAACTTGACCGATTTGTGCGCATGTGTGCGTGTGAGTGTTTGTGTGCGATCGATGTCTTAACGTTTAGTAAATGATTTAATTGAGAAAGCGATGAAGAAAGCGATTTATGTACGACTAGCGAATTATATATGTAAATTTCTCTATGTAAACTATACGCCACCCTGATCCCCCACCCTTTATATATCCACACACGGCCCCTCCCCCGATTTCTGTTTATATACATGTTTCTTTTGTATGTTGCATAGTTTTTATGAATATTTTTTGTTTAGCTGTATGAATTTGTATTCGAAGGAGGCCAGAGGTCATTAATTTCGGAATTCACTTTGATCATACATTGCTGTATTTTCCACATCTAAATACTATATAACTGATCTATCTGTCTATGTAACTACAAAAACTGATATTCGATTGATAAGCGATTAAGAAGCAAATGAATTGTTCTCCCTGGTTTCTCTTATCGATGTATTCTCCTCTGTGTTTCTTTCTACAATTGGTGTGAAATATGCAAATGATTCCAATTATATATATATATAAATGTATCTTTAGAACAATTAAAATGGTTTTTCTGTTTTTTTTACTATTTGTTTGAATTGAAAATGCATTTTGAAAATGTTTATTTGTTAGAACTTGTTTGTTTATGCTTTAATTTTAAATTTAAATAATAAACAAAGAAATAACTGGTGCAGGCAAAAAAAAGAAAGGCAAAGAATAGGAAGAATGAAAGTAATATAACAAATTTATATAGGAATATACTGGCACACATATGTATTATGTACAAATCGAAATGCTAATTGGTATATCAAAATTTAACTACAGATCCTCCCAATAGGGACAAACTGCTGTGTGTTGACCACAAAACGCTGTACTCAAAATGTGTACACAAATAACGATTAATCCCAAGGCTCTGTAACTTGATTTTTCCATCTCTTTATAAATACTTATATTATGATGATCATGATTGATTGGGTAATACGATGATGTTGACAATGACGGAACTAGATCGAAACGAAGTGTGGTGTGAATTATTAATGTTTAATAAGCCTAAAATAAAAATCAAATTAAATGCGTACGAGAAAATACAGAACTTATGTAAAATTTAAAAGCTAATTGTTTTATTTACAATGGATCGTGTTTTGCCAATTCAGTGCAGGCCATAGTCCTGTATTCCTTCTACACGTTCTCTGTAGAGTGCCTCAAATTCGTCGTCGTCTTCGGTTTCACTGGCATCTTCACCAGGAAAGGCTGCAGCCAGATCATGGTACACATCATGTGAATCATCCAAGTCCTCCGCAATTGCTTTGGAGGATGCTCCTGGTTTGGTCATAGGCGACTCTTCCTGCTCCTCCTCGAGTTCGTCACCTTAATACGTTACGGTTAGTTTATGAAATTGGCGATTTGCACACGTAAACTTACTGCTGTCGATGGCTTCATATCCTCCTGGAGGTTTCGGCTCGTGGGTAACGAAAATGGTGGGAAACTCCACGATGGTTCTGCCGGCTAGATTCTCGCCCAGCGTTTTGGTCGCCTCCAGGAGATAACACCTCGTACAGCTGCGACGCACGCCCTCGGCTCTTAGCCAAAAACTCAGCTGGCCAATACCAGCGGTTTGATGGTTTGCCAGCAATTTACGCTGATCCCGTGCCGTCTCCTGCTGCAGATCCACATACTTGACCGCCAGATCGGCAAGCGTGACCTCCTCATCACATCGCTCGTCCACGAATCGGGCCACATCGCAGGGAAGGCTTGCCTCGGGAGGAATGTTTGCAAACAGCCACTCCACACGCCAATAGAATCGTTCCTGTTTCCAGTTCAGATACGTGGTGTTCTCCTTGTGCCGACTGAAATTGGCCAGTTGCAAGCGCAGATTGATGTTGCGCTTCTTGGCTGCCATACGCATGCGATGCTGGGCCACCGGAAGATTCCTTTGGTCGTGGGTAAATCGCTTGCACGGATCGGTTTTCCGATTCTCTGCATAGCGTGTGCACTCCTCCAAGAAGCAGTAGTCACTCATAAATTCCCGCGACGTCATCTCGCTCAGGGGCACGAATTTGGTGCGATCCCGCTGGCCATCGCAGTTGAGCTCCTTCTTGTGGATCTGGACGCAGGGCAGGCTGCACGTTTTCACCTCGCATTTGGGACACGCGTAGCGGGCTTCATTTCCGGCGCACACCTCGCACATTCCCAGGCGCATGGTGCTGTGGTGTGTATAACGTTGGTTATTAGATCAGCAAAGACCAATGATCACCGGGCAGTACCTGGTTTTAGTGCTGGTTCCATCGGCCATCGTCTATATTCATTTCAATTTCATCTGAATCCGCGTGTTGCCATTGTTTACATCGGCAGTGCTGAGCAACTGCGCTTGCCTAGCTAGGGGTAGCCAAAAGTAGCTGTTTCAAAAATAGCCAGCAATATAGCTGTTATGTTATTTTGTTAAATATAATATAATAATTTGTAATTAAACGTGCTAAGTCTTAAGTTTGTTGTTAAAAGTCTGAACATTTCCTATTTGAGTGCCGGGTTTTAAATGAAAAGATAAACATCCGTGATGGAACCGCATAAATCTGAAATTTTGAGAGCTGCTTATGGCTAGATTCGGCTTGAAAATAGCCAACTTGGTATGACGCTGCGTCAGATGTTCGCTGACCACATGTTATTTTGTGTTGTTGTGCTCGCATATCTTGTGGGTTTACAGTTACTGTTACGTTGATTTCAGTGCAAAACAAACTGCGTTTGCGAAATATAGTGGCAATCAAGTGAGTGCAACGTCGCCTGGATCTAGTTAAATAAATAAACAGAATGGGCAGTGTTTATTTATACTGCGTGTGTGTGAGGCACGTGTGTGTATGCGCGATGTTTTTGTTATCGAGCTTGCATATCCAGTTATCTGGTTATAACAATCGAGTATCCTTTGGCGCAAAATGCAAATGCACATTCGAGTGACTAGATTGTATCAGTATTATTATTATTTGCGCTGTGCGTATGAAAATGCGTATAGCCTAGAATTTACAAGCCACACACGCGCTTATACCATATGGTCTTGCCCAATTTCAGCGGAACCAGCGTGTTGTTTATTTACCAGTTTTTTCAGCTCTCCTTCGTTATTTATTTTTGTTTTGGTAGTAGATACCACCGCTGAAGCACCTGTGATTGAGAGCTGCGGGAGAGCCGGAGAGCCGGCGAGACGATCGTCAGAGGTCTACGGTTTCGGCTCTAAAAATATGACTGCTCGTCTGGTAAGCCACTTAGTCCGTCGCAGTCGCAAGCCCAGATCGCTGGTCGTCGGTACGGGGAGCACCTACTGTACGGTGAAGACCACTCTTAGTACAGTGAGAATGCAGCGCATGGAGCACCTGGCGGTATTGGGTGCGGGCGTTACCCTGGCGGAACGCGTATTCAATCCGCCACTACAGGCTGTTAATGGAAACCATTGTTCCGGCAATAGCCATTCCTGTGGCGATAACAATAACAAGGACACAAATGCAGCCTTTGAGGTAAGTCTTGCCCATTCATAACAAATCATTATTGCAATGCGGTTTAATATCGCGCGACCGCTTACGCAGATATTAAGGATACAAACTAAAATCCTTTCAGGATTGTTTGTGCGATTGATATGAAATTTGGTATGTGTGTCGGTATTGTAATATTATAAAAGTGGTTATAACGTATTAACTATTATGTTGCGAATTTTCCAACCACTTTCAGTTGGCCATCAAGCAGCTTAACTTCCTGCAGTCGAACGACGCTGCCATTTGGAAATCGAAAACCTCTGCCCGCGTGGATACCAAAGCGGATACCATCAAGTATCTGGAGCGGAGTGGTCTGCCGCTTGAAACTGTCGAGCGACTGTCCTTCATACATGTGGCCGGCACCAAGGGAAAGGTGGGTACATATGTATATTAATGTCCCTAATTTGTTATACCCATTACTCGTAGGGTAAAAGGGTGTGCTAGTTCGTTCAGGATCAATAACGGAGTTAGTCGATCTGGCCATGTCCGTCCGTATGAACGTCGAGATCTCAGGAAGTACATAACAGCTAGAAAGTGGAGATTAGGCATGCACATTCCAGAGTCATAGATACATAGATATTAAATAATGTTGCCACGCCCTCAAGCTGTCACGCCCACACTTTGGCAAACATTTTAAATTTTTTAATAGCTAGCTGAGTAACGGGTATCTGATAGTCGGGCAACGCGACAATAGCATTCCCTCTTGTTTAGCTTTGAATTTGTTCTTAATGCTCTACTTGTCGAGGCCGCTAATCGCTTTGTTGCTGATAAGATTGGTTAGGTTCTAATTTAATATTTTTATTGATGGATCTGTTTTGGGTCAAATGTGTCAAATGTGTGTGAGTTAATTGTGGCAAATATCGAGAATATAATATATCGATAGCAATAACTCTAGTGTTTTTTTGCAATATAACTCTGGCGTTTTTATGAAATTTCGATGTTACAATTATAAATATCAAAAGCAATTATATGAATATAATTAATGTAATATATGTTTTCCTTTTATCAATGGCTACGTAAAAATGATTTTTTTTTGTATAAGGAGTATCATATTGTCCATTGTATTCAAATGATTTTTGTTTAACATTTCATTTTCCATAATTTGATCCTCGACTTTTTATTTGCACGTTCTTGTGCTGTTAATAGGGCACGTCCATAGATAACTAACATAATCAGATAAAAACGTTGACAAAGTGGATTAGAATTTTGATAACTTCGCACTTGACTATTTTTATGGAAATTTTTGGTGGGCTTCCAACATACCTTTTAATTCAGGAAAACTACCTTAGACCATTATGGTTGAATGAAAATGAGTTCCTTGTTGTTCACATAAATGCCATAACATCTTTGATTTCCTTTTATGTTCCTATTGTTTTTGAATATTCCAATATTTATGTACATTAACTCGAATTTATACATAAATTCGTTAGTATCTATTAAGTTTCCTAATAGTTTTCAACTATAAATATTAATAATCACGTGTTCACATAGGGCTCTGTCTGCTGCTTGACGGAATCTCTGCTTCGTCATCAGGGTGTCCGCACGGGTTTCTTCAGTTCCCCCCATATGCTGTCCACCACCGAGCGGATCCGGATCGATGGCCAGTTGTTGGCCAAGGATAAGTTCACGGAGCAGTTCTGGAAGGTTTACAACCGACTGTGGGATCGGCGGGAACACGATCACGACATGCCCGCCTACTTTAAGTTCCTGACCATCCTGGGCTTTCACGTTTTCATTGCTGAGAATGTGGATGTGGTCATTTTGGAGGTGGGCATCGGTGGCGAGCACGATTGCACGAATATCGTGAGAAATGTGCGCACAGTGGGCATCACATCGCTGGGACTGGAGCACACGGAGCTATTGGGCTGCACACTGCCGGAAATTGCCTGGCAGAAGGCGGGCATCATCAAGACCGGATCCAATGTCTTCACGCATGTCTCTCAGCCGGAATGCCTGGAGGTGATTCGTCAGCGGACGCAGGAGCATTCAGCTACGCTCTATGAGGTTCCACCCACCGAGGATTACTTCCGATCGGACGCATATGCTCCGATTTGGCAGACCCTTAGTCAATTGATTCGCCTGAACGGATCATTGGCTATTCAATTGGCTTGTGACTGGTTGTCGCAGTCGGGAAAACGGGCGCACACTCCCAACGAGGTGAGAATGGATCCACAGCTTCTCGGCGGACTGATTAGCACCCACTGGCCCGGTCGGTGCCAGATAGTCGAGTGGCACGGTATGCGACTACATTTGGACGGAGCTCATACTCTGGAAAGCATGGAGGTGTGCACGGACTGGTTTGAAAAAAGCGTGCGAGACAGGTGAGTGGAGGAGGAGGAGAAGAATTCACTGGAATTCATAATTGATTTATTGATCCGATTGACTTCCCCTTTTGCAGTGTTAATCCAAAGATTCTGATCTTCAATCGCACCGGACAATCCGATTTCGCACCTCTGCTGAAGCTCCTCAACCGCACCTGTGCCTTCGACATGGTCTGCTTTGTGCCCAATTTGGCCACCTCCACGCCAAATGCTCCCAGCCAGGTGATGGTTCGGTTTAGCCCACAAATGCAAGTGGAGCGGGCGCGGACTATTGCCACGGCATGGAGTGACCTCTGCGCAACGGAGAAGCAAAAAGATGCTGGTCAGGTGTACGAAACGCTGACCGACGCCTTTACCGCCATCTGGCAAAGATTTCCACCAGCCACGGGCAACGACGGACAGCTTGAGGTCCTCGTCACCGGTTCGATTCACCTGCTAGGAGCAGCTATCAGTGCTCTGGACCTAATTGATGGTCTCAGATGCAGAACTAATAAATAAGTCGCATTCCCAACGCAATAGAGTAGTAGCTATAAGATTCAGTTTCAGTCCAAACCAAGTCACTGGCATATCACTTAGTTAAACATTAAAATGAATCACAGAAAGCATAAGCTAATAGATTTACTTAGTTGTAGTTTAGAGTAAACCAATGTTAAAAATGTTGTGTTTATTGAAACCTCTGGAAAAAAACGTTAGAAATGTGTTATGTCCAGTTTAAGTTAGCAGTGGTTGCTAAAATTACGAATGTAAGCGGTAAAATGTTATCTTTTTGCTTAGGTGTTGCACATTTTTACAAATATTTACCAGATGTTATGGAATATATTTACCAGGTGAATGTTTTAAGGCATGCAAACTATATGTAGATACTTTTTTTTATTTGTTTACATTTATGAAGAGTAAAGTTACGGCACAAAATTACCTATTTTGTATTTGCACTTAATATTTAACACCTTATAGGTGATTTCAAATGCTTAATGACATCAAACTATCTTCCACCAAACAGAGTTGCCAACTCGCCGACGGTGTTTCGTTGATTTTTGGTCCTTAAACTTGATTCTTTCCTACTATGTAACTTGGTGCGTTTTAGAGCTCGTGACTCTCGCGACTGGCGGAGATTTCAAAGGCGGCATTAGACTGGGCTAAAGAAACGTGAGAGCTTTAAGGGATGCTTTTTTTCACCGGGCCATTTAGGGGTGGCCAAAATGACAGCCAATGGCGGGGCGGCAACCCTGGGCGAAGAGGGAGATAGCGAGCTGGTGTCCGCCTGCTCGCCCACCGGGCTAACGGTAAACAAAATGGCTAACGCGACAGCGGAAGTCGGTGAGCGAGCGGGATGGCATGCTGCTGTTGATGCTGCTGTGCGGCTAAGGCAACTGATTAAATAACGGTTAAATGGCAGCGGCCATTGCGAAAGTTTCCTTTTTGTAGCTATATTTTTTTTCTTTTCACTCATTTTGCTGTTGTTGTTGCTGGATGCTTCCTCTGCAAACGTCGACGTCGACGTGGGCGCTAAACTGTCCCGTTTACAGCAACAAATCCGCGTAATTCACTTGTGTGTGTGGCTGCCTGTGTGTGTGTGAGGGGGTGAATCCTGGCGATGTTCGCTAAAAGGATTAATAAACGTTCGACGTTTCGCATTTCAGTTGTTCATTTGACTCGGCGCTTAGCGGTTCAGTTACAGTTACTATCTGTCCGTCTGTCTGTGTGAATGTGTGTGTGTGCGTGTTTCGTCCTGGAAAATTTGATTACGCGTAGAACAGATCCTGGCCCAAGGATAATCGCCAAATTTGCACAACACTGCCGTCGGCCAAACGCCAAAGGATAAAATAAATAAACGTATTCATACAAATAAACCATTTTTGTTATTGTTGAAACGGGGATTTCAAGTGCAAAATGTTTCAAATGTGCCAGTTACCTCAAAACTTGGTCTAAAACTATCTGCAAATCACACTTAAGCATCGGTTTTGCCATAAAGACTGCAGATCCATTAAAATGCAGAGCTCAAAGTCCTTTTTAATACGCGATCTTCTTGGCGATTTGATTAATCGACGACAAACAGATTCGGGTAAGTTATTGGAATCGTTGTCGTAAATAATTTGTATATTTTGAAACATTCGAATCCCATGAGGCAGATCATTTACCATATTTACCTTATAATATAGTCATATTTATAAGACTATACAAAATCTGTAACTATTACAAAAGCAGTTATGCTCTTTTGTAGAATACAATTCGATCTCTTAACTAGATGCTATTGGATCAAAAAAGGATGTATTTAAAAATCATGTTTAATGCCCGGCTGCAATTTTAGAAATATTTTTGAAAACGAAAAACAGTTCAGCTTTAGTTCGAATAGCGGTAAATAACAAGTCTTTCATGTGATTAAACATAACCTAACCTTTTGTATCCACTTACATGTGTAATATACATAATACAAACGTCTTTTGTGGCCAATTAGCCTTTCTTTGTTCCAATCTCCCATTCTTTGATGTTTTGCTGTTGGCTGAGGGGTAAATAAAGGGAGTTTTTCGGTTAAAACCGCTGACAAATTGCCTTGCTCACTCGCTTTTGACGCCCCCAATTCTGTCATCTGTTTTTTACCCGCCCGTGGCATTTAAATCTCACACTTTGCTCAATTATCGCAAAAACAAAACTTTTAGCGGTGTGAGTGAGATGGCGATGAGGGCGAGTGAGATGGCTAGACAAAGGGTGAGCGAGAGGGCTTGAGTGGAAACAACAAGAACCACAGCTTTGGGCAGTAATTTGTTTTGTGCACTGCTTGCCTGCACCGAAAGAAATTATCTCTCATTTTGATAACTTGATTTTTTTAATAATTCAATTGCTGACAAATTTTTTAGCTTATTAAGAATATATTTTAATGGAAATCTTAATTATAATTTTCAATATATTGCTTGATATAACTGATAACCGCTTTTTCTGCCTGTGTGGTTGGCAGTTAATATTATTTTTCTTGCTGTTGACACTGCTTTATTCGTAACCTGCGCTCGAGCAATTTGTCACGTACGAACACTTTAATTGTTTTTAGCCAGGGGATCGGAAACCGAAAGGGAAAATAACGCGGTGGATGCGAATGTGAATGGGACTGAAAACTCAGTCATGACAAATGCTTTTGCATCCTCGCACAAGTACACAGAAAGTTCACATCGTGATCTTGAATAGTGTGAAATTAGTTCAACGAAATATAATAAAATGGGTGGGCAAAAGTCGCCTGTAAGAAAAATAAAAATAACTGAAAAAAATAATATACTCATCAATTATTCACGGAGAAGAATAACTCATTCCTTCATTCTATATGAATTGTATGGGTGCATATATTTTCCGCAGTGTACCGCCTGCGGTGCCCGCTTACTTATGCTTTGTTTTTTGGTTTGTGCCAACTGCATGTGTTATCCTCTAATTAGGCATGACATTAAATAAAGTTTAGCTCAACAATTACAACTATTTAGGGGCTAATTGCTGTCGATTAGAGGACGAAAGTGAAACTTTCACTGCAAGTATGCCCTACGTTTCGATTCTACCTTGAACTCAATGATAGTGGATGAAAACAAAAAATGCCTTATTTGAATTTTCTTGAGTAATTTCTATATTGCTAGAACGCACATAGGTTATACCTAAGTCGAAATAAGTCCAAATTGCCGGCACATGTGAGCACATTTCTCTCACTTTCTCCATCCAATTCGCCTGACTGCGTTCCTTTCTAGATGTGTGTCTCACAGTTCAAGTGCCTATTAAATGGCAATTGTGCCGCAAATTGATACGACGTGACTTTTCGAGGAAAAAGAAAGAACTCACTCGAGACGCTCCCCAGGATATCCACACATAATTGAATATCCCCTCATATGCACAGACATAACATTCATATGTATGTACCATATCCACCATCTACCCTTCCGTCCTGTCTGCGCAAATCGTTATAAATGGAATCAGATGTCGAAACCCATTTGGGGTTAAAATACACAAATATAAAAATAATTTCCGCCCGTTCAGTTGGCACTCGAAAAGTGGGCGGAAAATATAGAAGAATCCTTGCTGAGCGAACACACGTGAGCGCCTGCGGCGAATCGAAAATGATGTTCTTCTAAAAAGTTGAGTGTTAAGTAAATGCCACTGGGCAAAAAAAAAAGATAAATTGTATTCATGATGTGCCGAACTTAGTCGAGTGTTTTCAAACGTCAGTAAAAGTTGTTTTTAGTTCAAAATTTGTGACATTTGTATAACATATAAAGAATAATTCTTTTATTCAGAAAAATGTTAAAAGCCAGTATTTTGATTTGAACTAAGTACATGCAAGTAATTTTTATTATTTGATATGTGTATTATAAAATATTTCTGACAGTGCAGCGTGGAGCAGACCATGTAAATTCCAATAGGAAAAACAATTGAGAGCTCGTCGACACGTGAATTTAATCAGGCTGCCCGCAGCGTGCGACTTTCGAGTCCGGGTTCGAGTCCGATTTGGAATTGTACGAATATGTGCGGCGGATATAAATAACACGTTGATTGCTGCAAATTGCAACTCATCCGATTCGCCGCCCTGTCATCCAAATGGACCAACGCCCACTTGATTCTCCCATCCGATTTGATAGCACTTCATCCAATGCGATTGTCTGTTGCCGGTTGCCGGTTGCGCTGCGGTGTGGTGTGGTAATGAGTTTCCCAGGTCGCTTCTCGACCGGAAGTGGCTGCACGCGCGAAAAGAAGAGGCGAAGGCATTAGTGCCACGCTGCGCCTGAAAACAGGCAACAGTGTCTTACGGCCAGTATCTTTATGGCGATGCCCACTTGACATTCGGCCTGCACTCTGCACTCCATTTGAATCCGATTGAGTCGTGGTCAATCAGTGGTTTTGAATTGGTTCAGAAATCTATTCCAGCATCGGCTCGTTTTAAAAGCTTTGCCCACCCTGCTGATTTTGGGAACTTGTAAGTGGGTGGAAAGGCCGTTTGTTTTCAAATAAAAGCGGTGTATCTATAGGTTAATTGAACAAAATGAAACAGATCTCTATTTCAATTTTCCAATCCGCCCTTTAAATTCGCATTTGCAGAACTGGAGCTCTCCAACGACGACTCGGACATAGATATTGAGGATCGATCTACGCCGGACTCGACGGCTGCGGGTTGCCAGCAGGACCTCCTGCTGTCGCACCATCACCGCAGATTCACCCACCACGACGAATCCAGTGTGGAGTCCTGCCTATCGGCCACAAGAGGCCCCGGATCCGGCACAGGATCGGGAGGTGGAGGAGGTGGTGGTGGAGGAGTGGCCAGCGGACTGAGTGCCGCTGCAGCGGCGGCGGGCGTGGCCGCTGGACTCCTGGCAGCGGCGGCCAGTGGTGCCAACGGGGATCGGGATGCCAGCGGTGGCAGTGGCCCGGGATCGGGCGGCGGAACAAGTGGCGGCTATGCGGAGCACAAGCTGCAGCTGAGCAAAAGTGGACGGAAGCCGCGACGCCGCCGAACCGCGTTCACCCACGCCCAGCTCGCCTACTTGGAGCGGAAGTTCCGATGCCAGAAGTACCTGAGCGTGGCCGATCGCAGTGATGTGGCCGAAACGCTCAATCTGTCCGAGACGCAGGTGAAGACCTGGTACCAGAATCGCCGGTGAGTATCGATCGAGTGCCAACCCCTAAGTTACAAAGGCCCTTAGAAACGGCGGTCAAAGGGAGATTCTCAAAACGATCATCATTTATTATCATTTACCGATAATCTAAAGAACTACTCTAATTTTTTTGGTATTTTAATATGAAGTTTGTACAGTTGCGCTCATAGCGCTTCAAGCGATCGCAAACGTCTGGCAACATAGGCCTTGTGCTTAGCATAACACAAATTGTATTTTTCATTACAAATTATATATTGGCTTGTGATTATAGTTTGCCAACGTAGTTTTTCTTTTGAGG